CTCGGCTTAATCCCCCCTCTGTGGATCACTGGTTGCTCATGCTACGGTCGAAGTGTGTGGTTACAGAGCTACAGGACAAGGTGGGTTGGAATCTTGCAATCTTGCATTTTCTCAGTTTTCCCTCCGTAGGTTAAACTGTCGGATCTCCGTCGTATTTTGACGGTATACTTGGATGAGCTGAAGAACAGATTAGTTTTTAAAGGGGAGGCGAGCGCTAGTGTCACTGGTGCTGCTGCTGCTGCTGCTTCCGGCAGCGAATGTAAATGTGCCTTTGATGCTCGCCGTGATGATGTGTGTGTTGCCTTAGCTGAACCACAGATGGTGGCGACTACCACTCACGAAAGGCAGCACCCTGCTGAATACATCTCACGGGATGTGTTCGTCAATGCTGGGTTTGCCTTTGTGGCGGAAGACCCGAAGAAGGCCTATCAGGTGTGACTGCCTCCTCAGCTCTCGATGAACTAGCTCGGTCCGGTCTTAGGCCTCGGTGAATCACATACGCTTGTTGCAGAGTCATAATTTACTCACGACCCAGCTACTGTGTACCAATGACGCAATGCAGCAGTATAACATGTGGGTGCCCTCTTGTGGGTGTGCTTCGCATCGCTGAGGGCAGGTACACCTCGCTGACTGGAAATTTGGGAGACCTCGTTCCTTCTGCCGATGGCAACTATGTGAGAGCAATAGTGACTAGGATCAATACACTGTAAGTGTGGTAGGGCATTGCCTTTGGTGGATACTGGTTGGTCGGCAGATATGAACTCGGTGGGATGGACGAGCCTCCCTCCGCGTCAACATTGAAGGTTTTGCTACGGACGTTGAAGTTTGGGATGAACACAGCTAAGGAACGGAGTACAGTTGCGGCCGTTTTAGAGTGAGTTGTAAAATTGCTGTGACTAGGATTTGAACCGGGGACCTTCTGGTAGGAAGCTCGCTGATGGTCTTGCTAATAAGCAGACATATGAGCGCAATCAAGAAGCGAAGCAGAAGAGGTTGTTGGCTGAGCCGACGGTCGAGGCTAAATGGCGTCATCCAGCGAGAGTTGAGGCGTCCAAGTCGTTCATAAGGTGGAAGGGCGTTACGCCGTGGACTCTAGACCAGGTAGGTATCTCATCATGGTGTTAGTGATATTGATGTCGCTAGGTGCTTGCAATGCTGGGGATATCACGCGACAAGAGGAGGCGCTTCTTGGGTGAACCGTATTCTTCTGAGGATAAGGGGCCTGTGCTGAAGTCGGTAAAGGAAGAGGAGGAGGAGGGGGATGAGGATGATAAGGTGAGGGTGTGGTATGGCACGTGACACTTTCTGAGGAATTATCTCTTAGGAGATGGTCGCGAAAGCATTAAATGAGCCTCTGACCGAACCTGATATGCAATGGGACGCTGATGTGATGTGGGAGATGATGCGGAAAGCGGCTAAGGTCAAGGGTGAGCATTCGATGAAGTGTTGAGGTGTTTCTACTGTCGTACAGATGCTGATGATGGGGAAGCTGTGTTAGCGTCGTTCGTGCCCCCAACGGCCAATAAGATGTGGGCGAATACCTTCCTTGACGATGTGAAGCTGGAGGAAGGCAGAATACAGAAGTCGAGGAGGCTGGGGAATGCTCAGGCCTTGAAAGAGCTGCCTGCTCTTAAGCCACAGGACCTGCTTGATTTCGGATACATGTGAGAGCTTCGCTCCGCTAGGATTTGTTGAGGAGATTGGTCGTAGGTACCTCACACATTTGGCGTATGAGGTGATAGTCTCGGAGGGCGCTGAGAGGGAGAAAACGGAGCTGCCTAATGGTCTCATTCAGAATCAGTAGGTAGAAGGCTGCCCGGCTTAGAGGATCCTGCTCGCCTCCAGAATGATGCATATGACCTTTGATGATCTACCAGAGGAGTTGAACGTGAAGTCGCCTCTTGCCCTTGTCACAGCTAATGGTGATACTCCCCAGGACGAGATCATTCGCCTACAGGTAGTAGTGCTAGTAGTAGGTCTTCTCGACGAAGTAACGGAGCTCGCTGTGTGGCAAGTGTTTAGGGAACTCACCGCATAGGTCTCCGGTTCGAATCCCATGCCCTATGATTTTCATGCGAAGAACAGTTTACGTGCGTGTGTTGGTAGGAACTCCTGCATGGGGATTTTCATAGTTTAATGAGTATAGCTGTCTATTGTGCTCCCGATTGGTTCATCTGTCATGTTCAAACTCATCCTAGTTGAAGAGGAATAATTTGTACGCTCGAAATGATCCGAATCGGATATAACCGATATAACCATATAATCTCAATATATACCTAAATTAAGAGGTTGTGAGCCATATAAATTCTATAAATATCCATAATAATGCCTAAAGAGAGCTAGTCAAGTGCTGGCCTGAGTGAGTAGGTCGACCTTATAAACAGCGAACTTGCTACTAGCTGTTGGCTTGTCGCTTGGCGAAGAGCGAGAGCGGGACGTTGCAGTTGCTGTTGTTTTAGATGCTGCTCACTCTACGGCAATACCTGTGTTTCGGCCACGGGACTGCTGGTCGAGGCACTACTGGCAAGTCGAAGAAAGTGGCATCGTCAGCTGCTCAGCAGGTGGGAGGGGAATACGCATGATCAGAATACGTGGTAGAATGGTTATCTTAGTCGCCAGAGAACCCTCGGGATGCATTCGAGATGAGAGTGAGGCGCCTGGTTGGTCTGGCCGAGGAGCTGCCGTCTATGCGGGGGGCTGCCTCGGGGAGGATACTACAATGGTGGAAACCAGACATACATGATAGGTATGCAGTGGGGGTGGACCGTAGCAGCTTGCCGTACTGTTCATTTTCATCAGCGCTGTACTGGTGTTATTCGTGATTTACGGCTTACCGGACACGTGGCGAACGAAGGACCTCCTCCTCAAGGACGAACTACCTTTCTACCAGTACTGCAAGACTGCGTTGTGGTGAGTGCCGGCTGCGTTTCTATCGGAATCATCTTTGTTGTTTTAGCGTTGGAGGGCACTCTCAGAGACGACGACGGTGTAACGATGGTCGAGCCGATGATCCTAATTCGCTCGCTTTCAAGGTAGGTATGTGAATTCGCGCTGTTGTGGTAGGCCGTGCTGTAGGTCAAGATGCAGCTGATGGATGAGGTTATGCCGGCGCTGATGGGAAGATTGAAGGACATCACAAGGCTGCATCTATTTCGAATGTAATCATCCTGGACGAGTGCGTAAGGAGTGCTCTTGTTCAGGTATCCTCCTCCGGCTCCTCCGCCGCAACGCACTGTAAAGGCTGGGTCTGCAGGTGGGTGATTAGGAAAATGAGTATGACTATTTCGAAATGATCCATCTGTGAGAGTACTAGACAGACTAGTAGTGGTGAAATAAACGTCAGAATGTTCAGTGAGCTTCGAAGTTAGTACAGTGGGCGAGGCATAATCAACTGTGTTGTTGAGATCAATTTAGTGGCGTAGTGACGCTATTGTGTTCGCTCTCTTGACATCGTCAAAAACTCCCCCTTCTCTGTGTGATAGGGTCTGGCAAGTCTAAGCAAGGTGGTCGGAGTAAGACAAGAAAACATCCTCATACGGCGGCCTCCGCTCCGCCACCTAGTATCTCTTCATCGACCACTGCTGTTGACGCCGGTCCAGCAGTGGTTCCTTTCGTGGCTGATTCTCCGGAG